ATACACTAGGGCGTCCGTAGTGTAGGATAAGCACTGGTAAAAGGTATCAAGAATAGAGTGTCTTGAGGAAATAGCCGGTGTATGGTTATAGCAAGCCTGGGGGGTAAATTTACCGCCCGCTTATGCATGCATTAGGTTAGAAATAGGGGTAAACAACTTGTAACGGTGAAGTACAAAGTCCTATGCAGCAAGCAGCAGCCAGCAGCAGCAGCAGCAGCAGCAGCAGCCGCCTGCAGCCAGCAGCCAGCAGCAACCACCAACCAGCAGCCAGCCAGCAGCACCACGCAGCAGCAGCGCAGCATCAAGCCGCAGCAGCAGCAGCACCACCGGCAGCAAGCACCACCGGCAGCAAGCAGCAAGCAGCAGCAGCAAGCAGCAAGCAGCAAGCAGCAGTAGCAGCGGCGTCGTCAGCAACAGCAGCAGCAGCACCAAGCCGCAACAAGTAGCAAAGCAGCAGCTACAAAAGCGGCAACCAGCGGCAGCAGCAAACAGCAGCAGCAAGCAGCAGAGCGGCAGCAGCAGCAGCACCCTTTACACCAAGCCACCGTTACACCCAACCAACCACGTTCACACGTTCAACCAACCCCCTACACGGCGCAGCTGGGAGTTGAACCGCGGGGGGGGGCGGGGGGGGGGTTAGCTTGATATATCAATCTTTAAGGCACGCAGCCCCTCCCACCACAACATTGCTAAAGCAAAGAAGAACTCAGCTAGCATGCTAGCTTTCGTGACATCTTCTCACAGGGCATCATGAACAACCAAGAACGAATAGATCGCCATGGAAAGGGGCCTTAGACCTCAGCCACCCCCCAAACTAAAAAAGGCATCGATGCCAACTCAGTGCAGGGCTGAGCTGGGAGTCGGGAAGTTGGTCAACAAGAAGGTGCCTTGGGACAGCATCGCGGGATCCGACCGGGAGTTGCGAGGAGCTGCCCGGTTCTTGCTGATCAATTACATCCACGTCCCGTGCTTCCTTCACCTGGGAAATGGTGGCTCCCAACATCTCCTAACATCGCTGGTCCTAACATCTCCAGGGCCAGGTGAACACCCAACGACGAACAGGAGACCCTTCTTCAGATCTCCAGCCCACTGAGATCTGTGTCGACACTGCACGTGAGACTGATCCTCCCAGTTCGACGGAATGCACCAGGAACCACATGGATCAAGCACTGTATGACCAACGATCCTGGTGGGCACAGCCAGGAAACACCATGAAAAAGCAAGGTTCCATTCGACTGGACTAGGAGATATGAAAATAACGTTAACTGGTGTGCTTTTAAGCCTAACCAAAGCTTAAATGACATTCCTTGAAGCGGGCTGGGCGAACCAAACTGAGATCCAATCATCTGTGAACCATGCTGCACCCACCTCCGGCAAATTGTGGATGAACAAACTGCATGACCAACCACTCCAAGGCATGCTCTTGATTAGAATCTAGAATGGGTGACGGTTGGCAGAGGTTTTGCGGGATTATCTACACTCCCCGAAATCATCATGGAAGTGGAGCACCACTGCTTTTGGTATTCGGAACAATGGTCCCAAGGGACATGCCATCCACGTTGTGCCCCCCGGTCACCGGTGGCCTCTCACCCAGTGCCCCTCGTTTCCGAGCGACCCATGGGGTTTGCTGACTTCATGAAGGCCTCCTTCAAGAGCTCTGCCTCGGGTGTGTTCACTCACCCGGAGGGAGACGTACCGCCGCACGGAGACGCCCGACCACATGTAGGAAAACACCGCTGTCATGTCGACCAGGAGGCGGGACAACGGTCTTCATGCCGTGCAGTCGGTCTTCGGTCTTCTGAGTCTGTGAGGGCCCTGAAGTCTGGTGTCCAAACTGCCATCTACGTTGACCCGGCCCTTGGCGACGGTGACTTAGTCAATAGAGGACCCAAATTGGTTGCGGATTGGTGGAGCAATTAGCCCAGAAATGGACAGACTGAAACTGCCAGAAATTTTGCCATGCGGCTCCGATGTCAACAAATCCTGTCAATCAATAGTTTCTTGGTGTTCACCACCTAGCCTCCTCTACCGAACTTTCTCGGATCCTCGGTCCCAACATGTATAAATTAGCCTTTACATACCTGGTCTCCAACCCTTCCGTGGTGCCACACCAAGGCCCAGGTCTGGCCCAGGTCTTTCAGGGAAAGCCCAGCAAGTCCAAATCTCCTCAACCCCTTAAGGACCGGGCCCAAACCTTCATGGGCAAGTTGTCCTGAGCGAGCTGCTGCCCCGGGCAGCCGGTCTTACCCACCAGGCCATCCGTAGCAGGGCCATTGGCTGGTCAAGCTGAGCTCTACAGTCCAATCGATTGTCCCAGTGGTGCATGGAGTCTTTCATGATTGCTTGGCTGATGTCTCTAGCACAGCTTGACATAGTCTTCGAGGCTTTACCAAATGTTGGTGCGACTGGGGTGTCCCAGCCAATTGAAGTAAACATGGAGCTCTCCATCCACGAATCCATGATTGATGAGAGATGCATTTTGCCTTGACTTATTCAAACGCCCTTTGTTCCCACGCACATCTCTGTATTCGGCAAATGCAACTTGGGTGTGCAGCCGCGGCTCTGGAGTGTCCGCATTGAAAGATGCCTCAAGCATGGCGCTTTGACTGCAGTACAAAAAGGCAAATGACTTGCTTTCCGTAGAGTGCGTAAACTTCAAGCCAGAATAGCGTGAAGAGATCTTCAAGGCTACAGGACAACCATGGAAATCAAAAGAACCTCGTGTTGTTTTGACGTTCAATGTGCGTGGGCAATTCCGCGCTTGGGGAACTCATTTTAGCTCCTTGACTCCTGCCCCTGAAAACCACCATGGACAGCACCCTTTCGTGGAAGTCCCCTGCCTCGAACCAACACAGCTGGAGACCTTTCGGGAATGTGTTTGATTGTCCTCACACCGCACACCTAATTCACCGGGCAGAGTCGATGGAGAGTTCTTCCCAGGAGTGATGTCCTGAGCACCGACCGCCTAGGGTCCCTACGGGTCCCTACCCGACCCGCGGGTACTGAGCAAAGCTGGACGGAACTCCTGGGAAAGGAGGTGAAGTTGAAAGAAACTCTGCCGCCTTGCTGAGAGCATCTTCCACCGCCGGCTCGTGGCCCCCACCTTGGCCGAGCTCCAAATCGGTGGGTCAACGGAATGGCTCCCCACTCGAACGACCAGCAGAAGATAAACAACGCAGTGAAATATGCTTGTAGTTCGGTTGAGCACACGCAGACCCCATCCAGATCGCAGGCTGTTGGGTTCAGGACTTCTGTGCTGTCCCCATACATCGCCAGTTTCTGTGTGATATGTCAGTTCGAATAAGATCTTGGACATAACAACCCCATTAGCATTCTTCAAGCAGGCCCTTCAACCTATCTTACCCAATCACCTGACGTCTGGCATACTATGGTTACTATGGTCATCCATGGTCCACATGCCGCACAGTTGGGTGAGCCATCCGAACTGGCACTTGGGACACCCCAGCTCTTACAGATCTCCATCGCATCGATCATGGTGTACTTGGTGGGCACCGCATCCTGCCGAGCGAGGAGACTGGGAAGAAGGGAGAGGGAAGGACATTATTATGTATCATGTAGACTTTTGATGAATAAACCCCCCTATTTGTTTCGAACAACCTCTTCATATGAGAGATTTGTCCATCAACTGTTTACATTAATCACAAGGAAAGGACAGGTGAAATTATTGTGGTTCATCTCGCTTTACTACCAAACGTTACAAGTACCAGGAACATCACACAATCCATATGCGCCTTCCATCAGTTCACGCCTCCTCACTGCAACAAGCACCACAACGCTTCCTCCCATCATCCACCCAAAAGTAGCAATCTGGTCCCCCCCCGCTTGGCCTGAAACCCAGAGAACCTCTCCTCAAGGCCTCCGGCAGTGGAGCTGGTGCAAATCTTCTCGGCCACCAAATTTCCAAAGTCCGAAGCTCCCCGTGGAGCCATGAGGACGTAGACCGTCCTGGACGGTCCGAAGCTCCCAACATGAGGTGAGCGCCCCAGACACGGAAAACGGTCACAGCAAATGCAAACGTTAGTGAGCGGTTTCGGGATGAGGAACCCTGGAAACTCGACTCTGGGAACCCTATATAGCCGTGTATACCTGCCAGGTTATGAGCAAAACACTCGTCTTGGGTCAGTGGGACAAACCATATGACACTGAAACATGTTTAGGTTGATTTTGTCATGAATCCTTGGGGACTTCCAGAAAGCGCTCTGTGAGTCCTATAGGATGTTGCGTCATGTTGCGTCGACTCAGGGTTTTAGCTGAGCGTCGGCCAAAGCTTTTGCTGGATCATGTCAGTCACGATCTCAGGGGTGTCCATGAGCTTCTTGTCCACCGAGAGGCAGCTTCCTGCGTGGTGAGGGATCGACCCACTCTTCTTGTGGAAGAAAAGCTCGCCGTTAACAAAACCTTCAAAGAAAGTTCATGGGTTAAACAGCTGCAGACACAAATGCCAAACTGCTGACACTTCAAGAAGAGTTGAGTGAGAAGAGCCGAAGGCTTGTTGGAAAGTCGAAGACTCTTCAAGGCACGCACCATGCGGCCATGACTCGCAGATTCCAGCTCGTTGAATGAACTGTGAGCTCACCAACATGTCAACACTACGGGGGAGCGTCCTATGCTTGGATGATTTTCTCTCTACCGCGGGTGGTTTGCAAGAGCAACTTCCGCAGAGTTGCAGGATTGTGTCGCAAATTGGCAGGTCAGTTGCAAAACCACAGAGCACCATCTGGCCAAATCGATATACATATATATATATACAGTAGTTTGTTTCAACTCAAACACGACTCTGTAAGCTAGTTCACCCTGAAGGTGTTCGCTCCGGATCACCGTCTTTGGCACAGCCTCTAACTACTGGTTCCTCCCTCGAAATCAGAAAATACGGGATATACGGGAAACGTTTCAGAGGCCAACGCCTAAAAATACAGAATTCTATTGAGGAACCTCATTCAGACTGAATTCAGTGCCACTATGCCCCTCCCGGCTCCTGGACACATCTGCTTGAAGACCTGCAGCATGAGGATACACATCAATCACCCGCGAAGGAAAACAACCGACAAACTTGGTTGGCCTTCGAAGTGCTGTTCGTTCGACCCAGCTGCTGTCTGGACAAGGATAAAGCAAGAAGACAAGCAAAACAACAATGTAACAAGAACAGCAAATAAAAATGTATCAAGAAAACAAGGACAATAACAAGACCCCAAACAAACGTGCGTGAGACAGTCTCGGTCCGGCTGTATTTCTGGCAAAATTGCAGCGCGAAGAGCCAACACCTCCCCTTTTGCGCCTGTCCAGTCACACCAAACATCACCAAACCCATTTCCTGTCATTTTACAGTGGGTTCGTATGACCTTCTTTGATCGGAATCCATATCAACCACTTGCGGTTCTTGACATTTGTGAGATCACGGTATGATCACCGGATGGGTCTTGGCCATGCCGCCGCGCCTTGCTGGTCGCTTCCATGGAGGCCCGTTGCTGTCCCAGCTTCTCGGCAAACTGCTCAGCATCAAATTCATCCTCCTCATGAAGGCCTCACACCCGACCCAATGGAGTCCGGAGTGAAAAATCTGTTCTTCGGAGAGGATTGCCAGTGGTTGAATGAATGTAGCCAATGGCAAACATATGCAAACATCGTGCATGCCGGTTGTTAGTTATCTAAACTTTTCGCACTGGGCCCATTGGTGGATTTGGTGCGGAAACTGTGAAGACGGAGGATCTGAAAGTCCCGGTATGTCAGACTGGCCCGTTGGTGTTATGAGCAGTATAGTGTTCATAACTGAATGCATCCATCAAAACTTGAATAATAGGTTAAACAAACATGTACCAATACAAGATTATTCACAAATAACATGTGCACTATATACTATCAACTGCAATAAGTGAAATGAACAAAATAGAACCTAATATCAAATAGAAACATGAAACATGTATAATGAAGCATGGAACAAAACTATTGCAAACAAATGGAAGTAATACTAATATGCTTTTGGTGATAATGAATCAGGTTAATATATTGATTGACCACCAAAATTAATGATATCATGTATATAATATTAAATCTAGCCTACAGTTGTATAATTACGTCCAGTAATTTCAGTAATTTCAATACGTATGTCCAATCCAATGCATCAGAATAAAAATCAGATTATGGACCATACACATCTAAACATGTAAATAACATGATTGTACTGATTGGCCCAGAACGTAGTTTGTAATCGACAAAGATTCGCTCTGACGTGTACAGAGTGTTGAAACAAGGTGATATATGGACACGGTGAGTGAATAGGCAGGCGGTGCATCCCTATGCCCAGCAGCCTTTCCACTCCTCTTCCAAATATTCATCGTCGCACCTTGGTCGACGGTCGGTTGGTCCGTGCGAACACCAGCAGTCCGCCAGCTTAGGAGGTGCATTCATTGGAAACCGAAGAGGCCTCAGGGCCGGTTTTGCCGGTTTTTGGAATCTGCCCCCAAGACTCGTTGGAATCTGCCCACCACAACAACTGCTACCATCTGAGCCACTCGATGTCGAGGACCACTCGGGGTGCTCCAAAGGCTTCCTTGGCAGTCACAAATCATGATGATTTCTTCAAGTCATGGGCCAAATTGAAGCCAAAATAAACCAGAACACGATCCTGTATGATCCTGTGGATGTTTGTCTTGGCTGCTCCAGGCCAGTGGGCGATGTCAGAAACCGTGCTCGGGATAGAATGAGGCTTGAAGAGATTCATACCCATCTCTTTGGAATGCGACGGATGCCGCTCATGTCCGTTTCGACCATACACAGAATCGAAGGACGTGTCCGTTGGATTCCGTAGGCGTTGGACGTTGGATTCTGGTCAGGTCGCTGCCGACCGAGGTTGGAGTCTGTACATGTCTACATATCCGTTGATGAAAGAAAGGGATGAGGGGCCTCGGACTCCATGCTCCAAAAACTCGAAGAAACACATGCACAGCACAACTATAGTCCACGCGCTGGGTTCTCGGCTTAGCCCAGTCGCCATCACCACAACAATATCAAAGCAAAACATCGAGCATTTGCAGGTATACGGTTGCACCCTCATGTTGTCTGGTCTTCTTTGGCCGGGGCAAACAAATATGAGTTTTTGGCCGTCTGCAAAGTGAACGCAAGACTACACCCTCCTCTGTTCGGCAACATCAACCAAAAGCCAAAAGCAAATATCAAATGGAGGATCCGCATGTCTTGACGTGGGGTGCACACACGAAGCGGCCCCCACAGCGGCCTGTGTAAATCCCGGAGCATCCCGGATTCCTAGAAACAAAGGGTTTCATCGGACCAACATGGACCAACTAGTTACTAGTACAGTGGTTAGATTCACCCACACACACATCCACACGCTGGTCCCAAATGAACAGGGACCCACCAATTTTCTCGTCACTTCGCGCCACTGCGGCTCGGCAGGAAGAACGCGTACGGGTTAGGGCAGGACTTCGGGGGGTGCACCCATGCCCACGTTGAACAGTACAGCATGGGCATGCAATAACGAAGGCGTTGCAGAGTCATTCTAGGCCTGACCAAGCGAAAAGCAATGCTCCATGTCTCCAAGCCAATGGACTGGGCCATGTCTCGGAGATCCGTCAATCCCAAACACTCCATGGGAGTGGAATAGCTGGATTAAAATCATAATCTACATATGAGCCACGGTCAAAATCAATTATTTATGCTAAGGATGTTGTTTATCGTTATCGTTTTTGGGGGAGACCTTATCGGTTTTCAGCTTTTTGTTCAATCAGATGCTTTTGGCATTCGCATTTACATTGTGGATGCATGAAGCGGAGCTACCTACTCGCTGAAATCAGAAGCAATGGATGACGAGCTTGTTCACAGCTCGCTTGTCAGCGGCGGACAAAAGCATTGCAATTTCGAGTGGGTTTGCGAAATTTGGCGTACCTATCTCTATCTTAATCTTTATCGGCCTTCTGTTTGCTGGGATGTAAAAATACTAACACGTAAGTTCTCAAGAAGAAAGGCTAGACCAATGTCTTCGATAGGGAATTTAGCTGTCTCGTCAGCAGGCTCTGGGCAAGTGGCTATGAAAGCTGAAAACATATCCAAACGGTTATCGGCGAGTTATCGGTTTCGTTATCGGCGTAGTGGCCACATAGAATCCGGATTTTTCAATGAAAGGCTGCAGATTAGAAAAAGAACAACACAGCAACAAAAATATTGATTCCATATCATATGGCTGAAGCCACCCACTAGGGTACTGTCAGTGGGGCTTTCATTTGACATGCAACAGGTACCGCAAGGATCTGTCAAAAATGATAATAAATACCATCATACATAGGTTATCGGTTTTGGGGGGGACCTTATCGGTTTCCAATACATCCTCACCCTAAGCCATTCACATCGACCTCTCCTGACTAAAGTAGTCTACACTTATTTTGACCCCACCTCATATATCGCATATATTACATTGACCCCTTTGGCACTGGGTCTTGGTTTCTTGATGTGTGCCGAGACTCCACAAAGGCGTGCGCTTGCGAATCCACACTGGGGAAGTTGTGGAGGACCACCAGTGGTGCCGAGGTGCCTTGGGTGTATTGCTTCAACCTTAGCATTGTCCCAGGTTTCAGACGCATAACATGTTGCCAGCTGATGCTGAACACCTTGGCTGGTGGGGAAACCGGTCTCCCACCACCTCGAGCCTCGTGGCTTGTTTTTGGGTTTCGGACATGCGCCGCCTCATGAGGGCAGCATCTGAAAGCTACGGTAAAACGAGAGGTTGCATCAGGTATGAGAGGTTGCAGGTATACACTCCCACATGAAGCACCCAGAAGGGGTTAGAAGGTCTGACGGGTTAAGAACGAAATCAGCACCTGTCCAGGTTCCCTGACGTCCCCCATCCCCTGATCCGAACATCTCCGAGCGTACCCCATCCCCCATCCGAGCCGCCCGAATGCCCGACGGTCACGGTCACCGTCGGGCAAACGACCAAGGCACATGGCGATTTCGCCCTCGGCCTCTGGACAGGTCCCTTTCAATGTCTCCAGGCTCACCACGCCTGAGCCGTAGGTCCCGCCCAGCTGCTCCGCCTGCTTGCTACCCAGCACTGGTGACATGCTGTTCACCTCAATCGGCGTGGGTGAGTTCTTGTCAGAGTTGTTCAAACATACATGGGGTGAAGCTGGAGTGGGGGGGGGGGTGAGGGGGTTGAGGATGAGTTGATGAGTTTGGTTTAGGAGACAGCGCGGCAATAGTAGAGAATTTGGAGGTCTTTTGTATCTGTTGAGTTGCTTTGGCTTCCACACTCATGTCCAGGTCGAGTGATCAGTGGCAAATAAAAGGTAACACACATTAATCTGTGACAAAGCAAGGATTTTGCCGTCTATCCTAATACCTGTAAAAGTGGATGATGATATATGATGATGGTTAGTAAAGGCCTTGTTCAAAAATCATGATAATTGTTTACTGTCTGTTACAAGTAATAGGACAACCCCAAAATACAGTTATAAATATTATTTATATGTAATTATATGTATGCATCACCCATTGCATGATGCACTATCCGGCTTGAGCTCCTTTGCTTCTGGGGAGTGCTCGCCGTGCCGCCCCATTTGCTTCGCCCCTTGGAATGGGTGCGTCGCCCCGGTCCGGGCCACGGAGGGCACTGGGATGAATCTAGGTGAGCCGCTATAGCAAACTGAGGCATCTTGGAGTTGTCCAGCATCCTTTGCAGCTTCTCCTGAACGGCAGGTTCATGCAGGTTCATGCACGTTCAAGCGAGGTGCCACTTATGGATCGAATGCTTGGCCAAGCCAAAAGATGTTCAAACTGGTAAGCCAAGCTCTCAATTGCAAATAACATAAACCACCAAGTTTACTATTGCTTGTCCCTGAACAATCCCGATGCCCACATCAACAGCTGTCTTGCCAGCATCCTTCGGCCCGGCCTCCAGCCCCACCAACTGCAGTGCACACACACACAAACAATACCCAAACACTCCCTGCGACTGGAATATATGCCTTCATTGAACCCCTGAAACCACCTCAATCATTCCCAGTCTATGTAAACAATGCCATACATGGAGTGTCTGGAATATGCACAACCCTCTGAATTACTGGCATGACCGCACCAAAAACAGGTCAGAATGTGTCCCACCAACCCCCCCACTAGAACACCATCGAGGTGTTGGGGGCACCGCTTTAGTGCTTTGGTCACGCGCACGTGGCACGGGTCGTGGCACGCGAAGGGGCGCACAGCTCGGGGCGGCACCGTGCCCCGCGGCGAGGCGGCGGTCCTTGCTGGGCGTCTCCGAGACTTCGAACTTCTCCAGCTTTCCCAGGCGGCTGAAGTGTGCTGCGATGGGCTGCAAGCGCGTTTGGAGCTTCAGGAACTTCCCACTCTCCTGGGACCCGGAGAACGGCGGGAATATCGGGAGTGACCTGTTGGGGTGGGGGACCAGCAATTGATGCATGGCCCCATACGCAAGCCCTCAATTGATTAAATTGATTGCAATCTTATGTTGTATATACAGCGTGTGTATCTATCAGCCGAGCAGATACGGTAAGATCTGTAAGCAAATGCCGCAACGAAATTGGCGACAAACACAGCCACAGCAAAAAGCATCCTCTCCAGTATCTCTAAAATATCTAACATCCTAGCTCAACCCCAGCATCTCTACCTTGTGAAATCCTACAGTTTTAGTGAAATCCTGTAGTCTAACGTGTTTTTGGAATCCTGGCGCCTTACCTCGAGCAAAAGGATTTCAAAACAGCCCCATTTCTTGTGTATTTTCCTGGGTCCTACCTGACTTCCTTATCAGCTAATTTTTTCGAAACTTCTTTTTTTGTTTCTGAAATTATGCCGTCTACCCCTAGGATTTCAGTATGGCGCAACCAAGGGGGATCGGGAATGACCTGTTGGGGTGGGGGACAGGGGTCTCTGGGGATGTCTGGCACTATGAGTGGGTGGTATTGCCTCAAATGCTATGCTGCTATGTGTCAGTGGAATGCAAGTACATGTGACTGGCACCAAGCCCGTTGAAATAAGCGGATTTAGGTGCACAGGTTGACTTAATACCTATATATATATATGTATAGGGCCTAGTCATTCCTAGTCCCATGCTACTACCTCTTGCCGTTGTAGATCATCACCATCCAAATCAAAAAAAACATAATATCAAGTATCAAATAGTTGAGTGTACCAATTCTGAAAACCCTGCTCACTGCAAGAAGGTAAATACTATTGAAAGTTACTATTGTCATGAAATGTCATGAAGCCATTTCACAGCATTCACTGAGTTGCAGGATCCCCACCCAACCACCCACCCACCGAAGACGACCTCGTCTCGGACCTTGAGCCGACCAAGGGGCGCCCTTCTTGGCATACTCTTCGGCCCACAAGGTCTCGGCCTGTTCGCTGCCGGAGATGTAATAGACCTTCTCGATGCCTGAGAAACTCAGGGGATGCCGAGTCGAATCACATGGATGGCCAGCCATTGAGGCAATCGCCTCAGCATGCCAAAAAAAGGCATGCCTCAGCAGTTTCCTCATCCTTCAAACGTGGCCAGGTAGCTGAGGAAGTCGTCACATCCACCCCAAAAAAAACCTCCAATATGAACCCATGCGAAAGGATGACCAGTTTCTCACTGCCTTTGGGATGCCATGTTCCGCTCCAGGGCTCACCCGCTCCCCATCCAAGATGCGGAACTCGTTCTCGATGAGCTCGATCTGATCGACGTACCTCGCTGCGTCGATGACTCGCCACAGGCGAAAGTGGATTGGAGTTTGATCACGGATTCTCAGGTGGTTTTGAAGATGTGGTTTGAAGTGCTCAGGGTGTTCAGGGTGTTCAAGCGATTGAATCAAAGGCGCCAAGCCAAGCACGAATGAATCCGAATGAATCTCCAGGAAAACGTTACTTGAGTTTAGATACTTGAAAGCTTGAGACTAGGCTGGAAAAAAGTGTACATGCTAGGTCATGTTCTGTATCTTCCGTCGACTAGGTTAGGTTGTCCCATTTTCCATGTACGTATACTATACACCAGTGGCACCAAGTTGGAGCTCACACCTGAACTGTGAATGGCGTTTGCAACTGGACTTCCTGGACATGCCGGCGTGATCCTTTCGATCAGCCCGGTTTCGGTCACCGCAGCATAGGCCGCAAATGGCCGCGCGTTGGACGCGCAACATCACAAGGCTACCAGTTAGGGGGCATGTGTCTATGGACCCTATCGGGTCGTTCCAGTAACCCTGTGGTCGAAGCCACATGCAAAGGCCGAACCGCGGTCGGGCGGCCGGCTACGATGGCGCTGCTCGGGACAGTCCAAGAAGAGCTAGAAAGTTCATCGCATGTTACAGCATAGTTCCTCACCCGTGTTACATCCCAGCAGTGCCATGCAGTGCCTGTTTCCATGACTTCAGCTCACCTGTGGGCTTGCTGCCTCCAAGCTGCTGTGGGCAGTTCTGAAGCACCAGGTTTTCTGGACACGTCAAATTGGCCACGCCCTTCAAGAGCTCCAAAGTCATCGACAAAGGCACCACCTGCAGCGGTTGCGGCCGTGGCGCAGCAGTCGCGATCTCAACAGTCTTCCGCTCCTAAAGGACAAGTGGATGGACTTCAAGATTTGGATGAAATCCCTGGTCTTGAAACTGCTGGGGGAAAATGATGGCAACCTCTCTGGACTCTCCACCCTTTCACGGAGAAGGAGATCATCTTTTAAACGGATCCCCCTGTTCAATGGACTCTCCACAGTCAAGCACATGGACTCCCAGTCTTTGCTTGATCGGCCAGGATTGATCTTGTGGATGTAGTGGTTTCTGAACAATATTATAGTCAAGGACACTCAGTAGGCAGAAACCGTCCCAGGGCTGGTCTTAAGCAGAACGGGCACAGCCAAACCCACAGTAACGGAGGATATCAAGCCCTATATGCCTACTGGGGGTATGGTCCATCTGTCAACACTTTCTGCTTACTCGGGTTTGTTTGAAGGTGGTATTTGGCCAAAGCAAAAAGAAATTGGCGGCAGCAGCATGCATTTTGCAAATTTATTTCTCTTTGACTTGTCTCCTTCCATGCACGGGGATTGGAGCAAGAGCCGTGACTGCAACAGAATATAGTGTGCCTCTTGAGTATGACAGACATATAAAGAAATATATCATATTATATTATATATATATATATTTTGTTTTGACAGATATTAAACAGACACGCGCGCACACACACACACACACATCACCATCATTATACTGCATATACAACAACAAGATAGAACAACCAGCCCATTTTGCAGATTCTGCAACCTTTTTTCCTCCCATTCATTTTTCTGGATTTATTTTCTGCGAACCAGGGGCTCTTCCTTATAGGCATGTTTTCAATTAGTGTTAAAATCACCCATTTCCAGACGCAGTAAGCAGAACAATTACTGCTTAGTGTCCGGGTTTGACTATAGTAAGTGGGTTCCATCATCCCAAACAACGGTTGAAAATAAAAACAATATCTGAAACCACCACTCAGAATGTAGTTTCCCCAGCCACTTCTGAACCTGACCCTTGGCCAAAGTGTGCCTGACCCTTGGCCAACATGTTGTGCATCGCGAGGCCCATCTCTGTGCGCCTCTCCAACTCCTCACGCGGCAAAGCAGCATAAAGAGACGTGACATGGATTCAATCACAATTGCCAAGTCCCCAGTGTTTTGAGTTGATCTTTTTTGCGGGGCAAAGCTCCACAACATGGGGAAAGACTCTTGGCTTCACCGAATGCTAGTGGTCTACATGAACAACTTCGGGTGGGTTCAAGGAATGAGAAGAATCTGGATGAGAGGGGTTAGTGGGTTCACTGGTTGAAAAGACCAGTGGGTTCAAGGACATGAATGGATGAGATTCCTCTCGGAGACTACCCGTCCTTGTCCAAGAGCTCGTTGCAGTCCACGGCTAACGTGTTGGGTGCCTCTCCCAAGATCGAGGCCAAAACGTTCGTGGCACTGCCAGGCAGACCTAAGACCACCTCGGTCGGAGCCACGTTGGGAACCTGACTGACTGGCTGAAGCGTGGGAACTGACCGTTGATCTAAGCTTTCCGGTTCCTCTTTGCTGAGGCTGAACCTGTTCAGAATTCACGAATACACACAATACAGCATATACCCCATTTCCAAAGCTGAATCCATACAGCAGTTCAACCATGGAACACCAATAGTATCTGGAACATCTCACCGGTGTTAGTGTTCACTGGTCTTCTTGCCAGTCTTCAGAGGTTCAAGATCGGCCAAGGCTCAGTGAGTGCGGGCAAGACCTTCACTGAGAGCTTCTTCCAGGTGCAGTCGACCACACTGCCACTCTGCATTTCACCTTGGTGCTACCGTGATGTCCATCCGAACGGAAAGAATAAAGGAGTCGGTGCCAGGTACCATTGACCGAACTTGATCGTACACGACTGGGGGTATACATGGTATAGGGTATATCTACCACTCCACCAACCGGCCATCGATGTTTGATGTTACCCTTCCCAATGGATGCTGCTTCGATCAAAGAGTTCCCCCCCAAAGAGGTATGCCACACCTCCAACGAACCAGCCTCCACCTCCGCCTTCGCTGCACTTGCGCCCTGGTCTCAACACGGTGCCACCAATTGAATTCCCAGATATGGCATGTAAACCACTACATGCTTTCAGTGGTCAATGTAAGCATTATATATATATGTATATGTATCCTTTTTATATTATATATGTTATATTCCAGTTCCATGGAGTTTCTGGGATTGACAGATCTCCTGTTGGCCCGGTCAATGAATCTGAGCTGCTGAGCTTGCATGGGATTCGCTCGGCCTTGATGGTCTCCAGCATGCTGGAACTCTCCTGCGCGAGCCCAGCGGAGAGCACCACACGGCGAAAGGTTGGTGTCGCAGCGTCAGGGGAGGAATTTCTATGGTAGGTTGCTGGGATCTCGCGCTTGAATATGGAAGAGAAAAACAGGTGAATCTGAATCATATGAACCGGAACACCCCAAGAGTCCCCAAGAGTCTAAGTAAGAGAAGGCTTTGAAGACCTCACCACCAGTGATTTATATATCTATCTTTATATATACAGTATATATAATATCCAAGCTTCGTCAAACGTGCGACATGAAAATCAATTTCTGTTTTTACCCACCCCACCAAACAACTCCAAACACACCTCCAAAACCTAGTCTAGCCTTCTCTCTCTCTCTCTCTCTCCCTCCTGGCCGAAGAAGCTCTTGGAGCGGAGCTCCAATTCCAAAACGCCCAAGTCTCCCAGGCTCTTGGCCGCGAGATCCGACGCATCTGCCTGCGCGCGCAGGTCCCCCAGCCGCCGCGGCGAAAACGGACCCATGGCAGCACAGAGTTGGAGGAGACAACGCTGAAAACATGCCAGTGGTCTAAGCAAGGTCAAGCACCATGATCTGGTAGAAACAACCCATAAGGCCACAAGAGTTCACTAGAGTTCATGCATGTTAAGAATGTAGTGAAACTATAGGGCCTCTGGCGTTAAGCACTACGTCAAGCCTATTTATCTAGCATCGCTTCAAGTGAACATACTTCCGTTCACACTCCCAAATCCGCTCTCCCTTCCGAGCCCCGTCGTGTCGCGGGTTCGCCGGTCGCGCCTTGGAGAAGTCCAAGACCAAGGCGCGAGTGATACAGGAGATGCGATACTCCAGGAATTGCGCCTCGCGGTGGTTAGGGCGGTTGATCTCTCCCGATGTTGGACGAGGTTGAGTGACGTTGTTTTCAGTTTCGCTAATGGGACCGAGGTTTCTTCGGGGCCGGAACTCGTGGGTTCAATGTAACTTCCAAATCGGACGGTGGACTGCGGACCTTTGTTCCAAAATGAGCAGATAAAGAGAAGTTGCACACACTTATTGTGGCAATTCTTTAGGTGCGCATATTAAGAGACAAAGACAAGTACAGGTACAACAGTGCACCATGCGCAATGAGCTGTCTCAGAATGTTTCAGCCAGCGGCATTTGCACTTGATTCATCTGTTGCATGTTCTAAATGCTGTTCACTCACGGCCGACATGCGCATTTCCTGGAACCCAAACAACCACAAGCAAGTGGATGACGCATTCATTGCGTTCACCTACACACGAAACCAACTCCGTCCAGTCGCCTGCTTCGGGAGACCTGTCTTTGTGTCCCAAACACTCCACACATTTCCATATTACAGAAAAAGTTACCGGTTTTCGGCAATGTAGGCATCGTCATATATATATATATATATCTGTGTGTGTAAAGTGACATATGTGTAAATGTGCGTTGATCACACACATTGATCCAAGGGGAGGATATGGAGGTGCCTGCTTGAGGCTCTGTGGGAAGTCAGCGAGCACAAAGTTCTGCACTCCGAGCGCCATGTCCCGATAGATCTCTGAGAGGATCAAGGGACAAGCGATTGAGGCATCTACCTGAGGTGAACATGAACCACGCAAATACCCAGAGACTGCATTGAATCCTGAGCCATCTATGTTACATGCAGTGTCTGGGATAGAAATGCACCCGAGTCTGGTTTCGAAGCCTGCTTCAGGTGAGCCTGCTTCATGTACCTCCCCTCACAATCAACACTGGCCCTGATGGAGTGGAGGGTGACGGGTGACAAGCACAAACCCAGATCTCTTTGCATGCAGTATTCAGTATGGTCAGAGATTCCACGATGCCCATACAGTCTGCCACATGCATCCTGGTGACCTACACAGTAAATAGTAATTCTTCACGAACCCTCTGCAGGACAAGCATGGTCTTCCACATGCATCTTCTTCAGGACTCACCAATTCCAAATACATCCAACAACACAACACCCAAACCATCGACCATCCACAAGATGGAATCGTTACCTAATATGGACTCCGTCCTTTTCATGGAGAGATTCTTCCAGTCCCATGGTCTGGCACACAGGGCGCCCTTCCATCTGGTCCATCTTGGTCTGGCGCCAAGCTGCTGGCTTCCCAGCTGCCAATGCCTTTCGCACCGCTGGAGCTTCCGGCTCATTGGAGTTGGCATAGCTCCTGGCTAGTTGGACGGCTCGGTCGGAATCCGCGCGAGGCTCGGTTGATCGGAACAAATGTGGTCTGCAATATCTAACCGTCATCATCCACTGTTACATGGATATACATGGATAATGACAGTGGATGACAGTGGATAATGACAGTGGATATATCATCCATCTTGGGAATGTGAGATATATATGTATATACGTAAGATGTAGGACACCGATGGATATACGTAGTCATATTCATGGGAAAAAACTGTTGGTCATATCCATGTTTGGGAATTCCAACGATCGATGGTCATGTTTCTAGACCCTTTGGACTCATTAGTCATGTCGCTCATTGGTGACCTCTGGTCCCTCTTTTTGGGCGCATGGGGCATCCGAATCGGCCACTCATGTGGGAAACCACCCCATGTGGTCTTTCTGTGGTGAAATTATGAGATGGCTCTCACACGCAGGACGAAACAGAGTTGCACTACTTCCTGTTGTATAGTAATGCGCATGCCAAGCTCCAGTACTAAACTGCATCCCTACGAACGGGTTAGTTAGTGTCACCTCCGTTTGGTGCCTTCATCAGCGACTCAAATTGTATCGCCGACTGTCTCAGCGGGGGAAGCAGTCTCAGTTGCTGCTCTCCTTTCCACCAATTCGGGCTGCCCTGTGTGGACGACCCCATGCAGTATCCAAATATATGTGTATACGTACCCTGCAAGAAACATGAAAGTGGATGGCACCCCCTGATTCTAGAGGATGTCCTGCTCTTCCTTTCGGGGCGCCATCCACCTTGTTCAATGCTGCGACGCACCTCCCACACATCAGATGTGCCGCAAGTCGTGACGGGCCGTCGTGTCGGAGAACCCCCACCCGTCGCGTCGCGCCTGAGAAGCGTGGTGAGATTGATGGCAGCATAGCCATACTGCTTCTCCAGCTTCTGAGACATCTGCTCGACGGGGGCTCCAGGTGGGCCTTGTGTTGCGGGGTCTGGGATCCGTCATTGGAAGTGAAGCACTTGGGTTGGTGGCCAGAAAGATGAAAATATCACAACAAATCTCAGTGTCCAGTTGGAAACCGATGAGATGAGCATGTCCCTCGATTCTTTCCAACAGTCTTGGGTGGCTGGCTGGAATTCCTGAAGCAGCATCATACCTAAACCTGGAGATACTGCACACGGAGATACACCACCTGAGTTGAGTGGTTCCTCACTAGCCGCTAGCCTTGAACGCTAGCCTCCTAGTCGGTTCAAGCGTGGCTGGCCCAGTTGACAAAGTGACCGAACCCCTTTGCAACGCTGTGATCCCACAAAACATCATGGACACATGGAAAAACATCAAACGAAAAATTGGAGGATAAGATAGTAAGCCAATGCATGTTTGGTTCACCAAATCCAAGCCACTCCAACTTCAACGACTTCAACCGCCCCTTCTGATCCCCTTCTAACACCGGTACCAACTCGTCCAATTCAGGCACCCAAGAGGTACAGGAAGCGACAGCTGAAGAAGCGCTTGCATTCTGCATAGACCACCTCTGGGCTCTTCTCAGCGTTCGCCTTCCGGAGCTTTCCAATGGGGCCATAGTAGTTCACCAAGGGCATGGTCTGACCTGGGCACCGGTATTGAGAGGAGAAACGCATCGCTCCGTCGTGATTTTCGATTCACCTCCCTTTTCAGTGAAAGTGGTAAGGATTTCGAATGATTTTGACATGTTTTGGGGAGGGGGGTGGGACTTGAGGGAGGTTTGAACCCGTGAGCCGCCATTGATCCTGGGACACTTGGTAGTTCCCTGCCGCTCTTTCCGAGGGAGAACGTCCAATGCGAGTGCTTCGCCCTGTAAGCTTTGATGTCGCCTCTGGTTGCAACCACTGATCGGCAGAACAAGAGCCTGCACCCAATCGTCCCAAACTATTTCACTTAGACTCCTGGAGACGTCGTCAACCTATATATGGGTTTGGTGATGGCGGATTGCTAAAATCATTTGAAGACTTGGTCCAAAGTCTGGCGGTCTTTGGCCACCGAAACTGCGGACATCCACCGTTTCACCTGCAGTTTCAGAAGCATAGGCATCATCATAGGCATAGGTTTCGATGTTAGAAAGCTATGAGGTGAGACTCCTGGGGAACGGAACCTCATCCAAATCCCAACTGAAGGTATGTTTCACCTGCAGGCACCCCCAGAGTCAGTCCACACACATTGTATGTAGGGCTCTTGATTACCCCCCCTGATTTGGATGGATAAACCTCTTCACATGCGGGGGTCATGAATCAAGAGTCTACACTCATGATGCAAACCTAGCGCGTCCAATGGGCGTCCAATGGTGACCTATAAGCAGTGTGGGGTTGTCCATTGGTAACCCCTTGGAAGCAGCTGGTATATAATATAAATATATATATATATATTGATTCAGTCCATCCAAGACTCTGTCGAAGACTTCCAGGCGCTTGCGCACGGTCTCATCGTTGTCATCCACGCGGCCAGGGTTGCTCTGTGCCCTCCCCTGGATCCGTTGCTTCATGGTGTCATGACTGGCCTCCGGCGGAGCGAGCGCGCACGGAGTGACCGTGGGCGGATGGGCGGATTCGCTGGCTCCAGTCAGCCTGACTGGACCGGACATGCCCCAGGCTGGTCCATCAATGAACAGCGATGAGCCCACAAGCTGAGATGCTGTTTGATTGAGTGGTGAGAATGATGAGATGTGATGAGGTGATGAGATGCCCAGCTCGACCCAGCTTACCAAAACCATCCAAAATCTTTGGAAGTCTGGAACACCCCCAAACATTTTGCCGTTCAACCTCCAACACCAGCCTCCAAGTACAGGAGGAAGGAGACTTCTGCGATGTCACGCTCGAATTGCTGCGCCTTGCGCGGTGGGGTCACATGAGTTCTGTCTTGCCAACACGTCCCGCCAGGAGGTGTTGTTGAAAAACGGCTCGGAGCCCCACCCAGAAAACAGGCCGGCTTGGAGTCTCAACATTTCGTTCAAGGCTTCCGGCCGAAATGATCTGGTAACATGACCACTGTGACCGCTTTGAAAGCCAAAAAAGACTAAGTCTACAGTGTCCATCTCTATCCCATATGCGTCAGCCTGCTCCACAGATCTGGGAAAGCCATCCAGTAGGAAGCGGTTGGTATCTTGGTTCTTCACCATGGCATTCTTCAAGAGCTTCAGCACAATCTCATCTGGCACTAGACCTCGCCAGCTGGCGCAGTGCGCGACCTTGAAGGGGACCTGGTCTCAGGTGACACCGCCCGTGGGAAACCAGATTGACCATGTTTTCTGCCAGGACCAAGGCGGGCCTCCTGCGTGGAAGAAGAATTGGCTTCATACATCCTTCCCCCGCATCGCATCTGCAGTATCATATGTTGTAATTACTAACATTATACCGGCCCCATGTGAGCAACATTGAGTAACTAAAAGAGAACCAGGCCACATCATGCCCCCCATGCCCTGTGAATGTGGCGGCACAAGTCCGTTCTCCCACACCGAGGATCTACCAGACGCCATGTGCTTCTCGATCTCACCACCCAGCGAAGATCCCGAGGCCACTTCTGCCCTCATGAGATCCCCAGTGCTCAGGTGGATGAGGTTGAACTCTTCCTTGGCGGAAGCTTCTTTAGGCCATATTCAGCTACAAAAGGTTGACAAATCAAACAAAGAACCCACAAAGCTATATGAGGGCATGAGCACTGTGAGCCTACCCCAGTCGGAAAGGTCGACCTGAGCCTGGGCATGTTTCAGCACCTTTTAAGACATGTACATGCAAGTTTGACGACTCATGGCATTCGCTTCCTGAAACATCCTGAAACAAGCCTTTTGCTCCAGCCAGCTCTAAGAGCAAAAAAGCTTAATTTCTTCGGCCTTTTCTTTGGGTCTGCGGAGAAAGCACCTCCGTCCCAACCCATGAAACCCCCTGACTTCCCCCCACTTGACCAGCGCAGCATAAACTGCCGCTCCGGGCCTTTCAAGTTGAGATGAGCTTCCCTCAGCTTGGTACATTGAGTGCCCTTGCCACATCCGGGGCCTCCAGCCACAAAGACCACGAACGGCGGTGTGTTCCTCGGTGCAGTGGTGAGCACTAATTGCTCGGGTGTTGTTCCGGCACATGTGCCATCCTCTCAGCATGGATCGTCAAGTGCTTGGTTTGGGTCCATGGGATTGGATGGCCGCAGAAAAGTTATAAGTCTTGCCAAATGATCAGGATAGACTGGAGGCGATCGCAAGGCTTGCAAGTAGGGCTCCTTATCTGCCAATTCTGCTTGCCCGAAAGGCGCCAGAATATTGACCCAAACTGTCATATGTATGCATATGTCACTTCCGGGTTGATGAGCCTCTCTGTATCTAATTTCTCTCTCCAACCGTCTCCACACCTTCGTCTGTGCTTTTTTTTGAATGCATTTGGCACCATATATGGGTGACTTGCAACTGGCCCTTCACGTCATCTCTAAACTCTAAACCGATGAATCGGTCCATTTCAAGGAGTCGAGGACACATAGGCAGCCAGCCTTCCAGAACTTCCAGAACTTCCTGTGAAAGTGTCATTTGGATTGATATGGATTGGTCATCCCGCGTGAAAGATTCAGATTGCTCAACAAAGCCCTGGAACCACCAACCAGCACTTCCTCTCCAAGCCTCAACTCCGCCTCGCCCTCCTTCGCCTCCTCAGTCGCTGCGGCCGGCGCCACAGGCGTCTCGGCCACGGCCGGCGCCTCCACTTGGAAGGGCATACCCTCCTGCAGCGGCCGACGGGTCTGGGGTGCTGGGTGGAGGTGCAGCAGAAAACGTGTAGTGGGGAGAAAACACAGTCGCAAGTTGCATGGCATTGTATGGCAACTACTGATACTACATGATACTACATAATGATGCCATGCGGTAGACACCGCCACGACAAGGGGCATTGAAGAATAGACGCGATTCTATGACTGACACTAGCACAAGGCAAAATCATGCAAAACACTCACCAAACTTGGTGGTGAACGTAAATAGACGTCAAAAAGCCTGATATCCCACTGTAGACGAGCTGCAAGTTGCTAGAAAAGTAAGCGGGTCGAGTTGTCATTCTTAAACCACGGTTCGACATGCTTGGACATGCAAATCTAGCAGGCCAAGTCCGCCTCAGCTACACTCTGAATATCTCTAAATTGAAGGCGGGCAAACAACATGGGCAACCTTCCAAACATTCCCAAACCCCAGTGATGAGAGACCTTTCGCAAAAACAAGCACAGTCTTGGCTTTCTCAGCTTGGTGGCACAGACCTTTTGAGCCACGGCCCATATGTCAAATGCTTGAAGTAGAAACGTCTAAACCTACCACGAGCTACCTGAAAAAGTGCTTGCCATGACCAGTTGACTAGTGGAAACAGAAGCTAAATAGGCGAAGCATTATCTATTAGTAGCCTATTAGATAGTCCATATTTGTCCCGTACTCTGTGCAGTAGGTTCAGAGCATATGAACACCATTGTATAAATACCACAATCTCCAGGTCATTTGGTGAAAGGTCAGTCCACCTGAACAATTGCTCTGGAGGGAACTGATTGTCACCACCACCACAACAGCAGCAACAACTACTACTACGACTACGACTACGACGACTACGACGACGACGACGACAACGACGACGACGACTACTACTACTGCTGGTGCCACTGCTACCGCTCACCCAACTCGTGCTACGTTCGTGCTCCAACTCACCCACCCAAAGCGGATGGCGGTCTGGTCTGCCCCAGGCTAGCCTCTGGCGAACGAAAAACGGATGGTGCTGGGCCCACCAGGGTACCAAAAGCCCAAAACGACTCTTCAGCTCCTGATTCACGCCATACTCGACATACTGCTTGGACCGCGCAGGAGGGTCAAAGACCCCAGATGCCTCACACAGCTGGAGATAGCTTTGGATGGTCTTCATGGTTTGTTTTGTTCCTGGCATAGGCATAGAATGGACCATGTTTCAAAAACAAAGACTCCAGAAACAACTTGAAACAAATAGATTGTTGCACGAAGTCATGCCACTCCTGCATGAAGTCCTGACACACCATCAGTCCTTTTCTGCTCAGGATTGATCTTGGAATTGTCGAACACTTCCAGTTCCACCCAAACTCGAACACTTGCAAAGTTTGTTCATAAATGGAAGGCCGGGGCCCAATGAAGGCATAGAGCCTGGAAATGGTTTGGAAGTCCTTCCTATCCAAGAGACCTCTCCGCATCCACTTCCACAGCTTTCCACATCATTCAGTATCAACATATGTGTATATCCTCTACCAGTAGTTCATGATCCACGGTGCCTGGCTGTTGGGGTTGTTCTCTGCAAGCCAGTTGGCCAACCACTTCACTGCATCAAGACCTTGAGGCTTTACTTTGCCTCGGAGCTGAGATCGCTCAAGGCATGACCTATGGTGGTGTGTGAAGCGCCTTGCCTTCTCTTTCACATGGTTGTGAGGATTGTTTCTCGACTCCAGCTAGTGAGAAGGACAAAGGACTTGAACACTGTCATGGCGCACGGACCCTAAAAGGTAGTTTATATGGACCCCCATCTAAAAGTCTCAAAGACATCTTGGGGTCTGTGCCATCGACTCTGAAACCACTGTGCTTATTTGTTTACGTTGTGGATGTTCATGACCCAAGCATCACCGTGGCAGTCCAGCGGATACAAATTACGTATGGCATCATATAATAGCCACTGGGATTGATTCTACAGTCGGTGCTCTGAAAACCTGCTGACCCCATGTAAATGCACGGCCAACAGCTCCATGATGCTCTGCACATCTCCGTACCAAGTCCCTCTCCCATCAAAGGACCACCAGCCAAACGTGTTTTCGGGAGAGCGATGCTGGAGTGGAGAATGGGGGCTGAACCCAAGTCTGCGAGTCTGCGGGGCCTTCTTCTGCCGAGTCTGGCGGCGCCAGACTGTAGGCGTGCGGGTGGTTTTTGGGTCGTGGTCGTCAAGCCACAGAGGCCGATCAAGCTGTTGGACATCAACTGCTGGAAGGTGGGGTCCACCGCGAAGTCCGTGGTCTGCGCATCCGAGAGCGTCTGCAAATCCATCGAGGCCCGCGCAGACTTGCCTCAGCGGAGCCGGGCCAGGGGAGGTGGGCGGTTGAAGCAACAGCGACCAAGGATGATGATCCAAGTGTTGACAGGATACAAACGATGTAAAACAACTAACTGGAACAGGTTCAAATCACCGTGAGATACCGTGAGCATCTTTTGATATATCATTGTGTCATCATGACACTCATCACGATATATCAATCGATGATGGCAAGCAACAAGACCACCGCTGTATCCAAGAGGAACGAGAAATCCACTTGAATTTATTCACTCCTTGAATCGAACTAGGCTGAGATCTCCAAGTCCGGAGAGGCTGAGACCTGAAGAACATGGAAGAAACCTGCATATGAGAAAGCAGCACTACAGCATAGGTGTTTTACAAGCTTTCAGGATGCCCCCCCCGTTGAGCTACGAGCGGGAAAAGGATGCACACGTCCAGTGTCACGCCGCGCCCCGCGTCTTGGCCGTTCGGTCCCGAGGGGCGGAAGAGGAAGTCCTTGACCTCGTGGTCGTCGGGAAGCGGGTCCACGCCCATGTCTGGAAAGAAGAACTTGATGTCCTGTACCGCTGCCTGACCGCTGAGGCTGAGGCTGAGGGAGCCAGGAGGGACCGTGAAGAACGACATCCGAACTCTTACTTGGTGTTACCGCAAACATCGTGAGGGTCCATGTGTTCCAAGGGGCCGTTGTTGGAGAAATTCGGCGGTTCTCACTACCTTGTAGAATCCTAAAGTTTTAAGTTCTGCTGTACATGCACTGCACTGCTTCAAACAAAGATAACCAAGAAACAAGAACCATGATCCACACAAGACTCGACGAGCTGTTCTCCAACGAGACGTCTGAGTTGTTTATGTCTTGGGACCCATCCCGGATCCCAATCTTCCAGGCCTTCAGTGAATCACTCCCATGCAACGCGTTTCGCTGCCCATCGCGCCCGAAGCGCGCGCGCAGGCTGCCGGGGCGTGTGGCGCGGGCCACGTGCACCGACGCGTCGCCCATGAGTTGCTTGAGAACCTGAAGAAAGAAGAGCGACGAACGATCCAAAGATCACCCAAACACGACCCATGGGACTGGTATATTTACCGATCAGGCCAGGGATGGTGCCAGAGGGGTCAATGGGGCGGCATATATGACAGACATGGAGTGTCTGGGTCATCAAAACCACTCATCCCTCGGTGGATGAATGAGTGCGGCATCGTTCGAATCGTGAATCGGTCTCCTGGACCTCCCCATCCCACCAAATCCTCTCGCCGACATCGTCCTAACAACATGCATGGCCATCCGACACATGGTCCTCACGAAGAATGTCCAGAAGCCCACGTCTCCGAATTCGTGGCCATTCGCCAGTGTTGGAGAACCAAAGTGCCACGGAAGTGCATGGCCCCGGCAAGATTTCAGAGACAAGCACAATACCGAAGAGGGGGAGAAGGCATCGTTCTACGGGAGACGGTCTCGCTCCGAGCGAATTTCGGAGGTTGGCCAGGGCGGGCATGAGGTCGAAACTCCATGACTCATTTTATGTCCATGTATTCTACCAAGCCTATGGATTTCCGCTTCCACGTGTGTTGCGCGTCCGGTGCTGTGTACCTCTGCTTGGCACCGAGGAGCAGTGACGGCTTCCAAGCGGTAGAGCACCATGGCACAGCAGGGTCCACTGCAGGCCTCCTTCACCTGAGAAAAACGATGCAACCAGGACCCCCAAGAAGGGGTGGTTAATGGACACCCCTTAACAGCTAAGGGGCTATAAATAGACACCCTTTGGAGGGTCCTGGAAGGCATGGCGCAAGATGGCCCATGTCTTTGAACCAAGCTATGCCAAGACCTCCATGCAATGCCTTCCGAGAACAAAACACCTTCCGGGCCACACCGGTCGCGTCCGTTCGTGGATTTGGCGCTGAAACCACTGGAGTTTGGCTCACCTCATGCGCGATGCAGGTTGCCTCTCTGACAAAAAAAGGCTCCCAGATGTTGGGTGCTTACACCGTTAAAGAGTCTCTCACCTTCTGGGTGAAGAAAACTATGCGTTGCTATGGGTTTCTGTTAGATTACAATAGTTAATTATTGTACATTATTGTACAGCATACGCCGTTCGGTCAATCTCTGTCACACACACACACACACGAGTGCGCGCGCCCGCGCGGCGTGCGCGATCTGGCCGCTACTCTGGCCCCTCCCTGTCAATTCCGGGCCGCCATGGCAGAGAACGCTGGATCTTCTGCTGAGCTCCTGAAACACATCTGCTGCATTGTGCATGTAAGATAATTAGCCAAGAACTGGTCTGACCTTGAGTCTTTTTGGTTCGTCCTTGGGACGAATGCCAGTAGCATAGGGTACCACAAGCAGGAAAGCAACTAAACAAACTAACATCAACTCAGTTTAAAACAGTTTAATGCCAGCGAACATTGACAACAATCATGTTGATCTACCTGACTTGCCCATCTTGGAGATTCCTCTCTTCCACCCAATGAAGGTGCTTTGGAAAGAAAGCCGAGCCATCGATACAAGCTCTGGGTGTTTGCTGGTGTCATCTGCCCAAAATTTGTTCCCTGATTCTCCCCCAACAAAAAAATGACTTAGATTCGTCGCACTCGTCGCAGTCCTGTAGAATTCTCTGGCTCGCTCTTCCGTGAGGCTGGTCTGCTTCTCTTTGAGAATCGTGAACCCCGCAGCTTCCAGCTCCGTCTTCACCGCCACCTTGGTGCCACACGGTTTTGCCGCCACCTTTGCCCCCGGCATACTGCGGCAAACTAGTTAACTCTCATCAAACATGGTCGCTGACCCTGGTCAGTAGCTGGCAGCCTAGTTGAAGAAGTTGTTGCAGGTAGCACTCACGAAAACCAAAAAAGGTCACTCCAAAAACAGTGCCTTTGCATGGTTTTGCGGGTCTATGTTTGCCATGGGGTCAACAACATAAAGGGAGTAGTTATTATGTTACTGTGCAATTATATATCCGTGGTGTGACCATTGCCATACCTAGCTTTTGTCGGGTTTGTTTTCCAGTACGCAGTAGAAACTAGCAGCAATCCTTAGGAACCTCCGATGCAATCGGTCAAGGCGCCACATGGTTGATGGCGTCTGGCTTGACGATGCAAAGGGTTCGCTCCAACTTCAAGCTGCCTGTGGGGAAGACCGACTTGATCTCCTGGGGCGGAGGCGGTGGTTCAGTTGCTACAACGAAGCCATAGCATGAGCATGCATGAGCTATATAGAGGCCCTCTCAAGTGAGTGCGTGGCGCTTGGAGGAAAGCCCTGACTCAGCCCAAGTGGTGTAACAATGACTTTGTTTGCCAGGAAGTGACTGAGCGACAGGGGCCAGTTCACAAGTACAGTATATAGTATATACTACGCTGGACATGGTCTGCTTCAAGCTAATCGTGATTTCCCGTGCTTCCTACGTGCAAAACAAGCCCAGCGCCCCACCTACAAGATCTACAAGTAGTAGTTCTTGCTGTGCTCCCACCGTGAACTAGTTGGGGCATGTTGGGCACTGCTGCAGCAAGTTATCTCACCGCTCGCTGTCGCCCATGCTACCACTTGCCTTCCACTATAAACAGCATCCCATAATGCACTGGTTTGCTTCGCTCGCTTCGCTCTGCCTGATCTGCCGACTCCATGTCGGTGCTCGCATGGACGCCGTTGCAGGTGCCATCGGTCCCCCAGAGCGCGCGGATCGTGGTGGGCGCGCGCTGGCGGGCAGTGCCCGAGTGCAATGGACCGACGACCAACCTCGGAAGGAGTGGAGTGGCGAGGGTTGTGGGTTCCTTTGGTGGATGCAATTGGCACCAGTTTGGGCTTTTCAAGGGAAGCAGGAGGAAGCTGTAAACAATCCTTGACGATTGTTCTCAGATTCGTGGAGACTGAATCTTGCCCAGCCGCTGCATCTTGCCAATGGCCCCACGGCCCTCAAAGCACATGGCCAAACAGCCATCCTGCTGGTAGACCTCACGGCTGTGTCGCAAAAAAGAACGCCTGGGTCTGAAAATCAACTAGGCTTTGGAGAAAAAGGAGCTTCGTCAATAGTTCTGGAAGCGAACAGCGGTTCCACAGAAGCACTGATGCCATTGATTGCATCAATTGTCATCACTTCCCCCTGTGTCACCCTGTGTGATTTCTCGGGGGCAACTTGGAACTGCCGTTCTGGAAAGCATCCTGGACCCTGGATACTTTAAATGCGTTCGTTCAAGCATGAATCTCACGTGACGAAGCCGTCTCCTTTACAAGGGGCTCATGCGTTCCGTCAAGAATAAGAACCTGTATACGTCCAGCTTGTGGCGATTCGTCTCTCTCCTCTGCACGCACCTCCTAAGCATTTATGTGTATGTATATATATATATGTGTGTATATATATATATATAATATATGTCAATACGTTCTCTCATGAACTACACTGATTACATCTGATTACTTGTGTATGTGGTATCAACCTCAAGCCTCGGTAGCCATTCATATCCATTCATCGCCTCACCCTCTTGTGAATTCGGTGTGCGCCCAACAGTCCAGTCACGCTTGGCACCGCCAAGCAGCTGCAGTGGCAGTATGCAAATCAGCTGTGCCTTCGTACTCCTGCGCCCAAAGACTCCAGATACTCTAGATTTGAGGTGTTCTTCACATCGAAGTGATGGACAACATCTTTGGCTAGTAAATGCCAACGTGCCGACCCAGACCATGGATGTTGACTAGGAAAGCACAAAACCGCCATACCTTCGGGAGGGTCACCAGCAAGCATTCCAGTCCATGGTGAAGGTTCAGAGCGATGTCCGCATTCATTGGCCTCGTACTTGCGGACGCTGCATCTTGCCCCTGACAGACCCGTCTACAATGGTTGTACTGGTAGCATTCCCTGGATTATCCCAAACAATCGTATGGAATATATGCCCAAAATGACCCCTGAAACCCCCACATGTATGCAAATATGCCACAATATATGGAGTGTCTGCATATGGTCTTTCTTCACCTGCTATTGGTACTGGAGCTGCTTGCCGCGTCCTTGCTGAGCAACTTGGCCTGTTCCCCATTCAGCCGCACTGGCCTGGGACGGACTGTAAATCTCATGGGCTGGAAATCCTGACTATCCCTTACTTTCGGGTTTTGAGAGGGTTGTAGGACCATCATGCACCATCTGAATCCAAGGCGCAGATTTCAACCGCCGTTCAATGGGTTTCGCATTGGGACCCCACCGAAACCGACCCAACAATCGTGGAACCTGAACCTGCCGAAAAAGGGACGCCCGCGGAGCGAAGGGAGCTGAAGTAACTGATTGATTATAAAACGAATCAAATTATATAGTTATCATTACTCAACTGATTGGGTGTAAGTTGGGTATAGCTTGTTGTTAGGTTATATAGTTTTTATGTTTAATTAATTAATCGTAATTGGTGTAAGTGTTGGGTTTAACTCGAAAGTGAGGTGACCAAAGGACATCCACAATTCTGGACAATTCATGTCTTTTGCAATCTCGTGTCGGCACAATGGGAGCTCCCCCAGTCCGCTGCCTGCAAGAACTGCTCCTGTCGCGAATAACTACCCTATAGCCCTATAGACTCCAGGCTCGAAAGAGCTAACGAACCGAATATCACAAAGCTCAGCAATTTTACAGCTGAGCCCATCTGTGTCCCCTCCAAGGAGCTGCTTGGCCACCACAAAGAGCCCCAACGCTGCAGCCTCATCCTGGAGGAAGAGCCGCGGTTGAGCTGTGATCGTACTCATCAATAAGGGTGTCCCTACTGGTGTCCCTGTTCAAAAAGCAAATGATTATTGCCGACATCTGTCTGAACATCAAACCAGTAATTCATCATTGGCTCCGAAAACCCGCAAATCGCGATGTTCTGAAGTCCTCTAGCACTTGATCGACTGTCTTTCCGTTCTTCTCGCCCTGGGCCAACGCATCCGGCTTGATGACCTCAGGCTGTGTTTGGTGTTCAATCCAATGGATCCCAGGCAGAATTCCCTGGCTGCTCCGGTGAGGCCGAGCCCGTTAATTCCTCAAATCACATCGTCTAGTTTGTACAGAGCTGTGAAGATCACCAAAATGTTAAAATGTCCATATAAGGAGCCACCCCAGCCTGGGGCATGTCTATATAAACACCTGCAACCTGAAACGGTCAATTTAAATATAATTGTGCATCCAGAAAGTCCGTTGCACGTTCTTCAGAGACAAACACTAAAGATCACTAAAGTATACTAAAGTCATCTAAAGTCCGTTGATATGCACGTTTTCTATCATTTTCTGATTGTAGCAATTTTGGCTGTATTGGGTGGCATCGTCCCGCCTGTCATACAGTGACAAGTGGGAAGATGCAGCTATGGTAGTGAGACACCTTTGCGGGCCGAGGGGTGTGTCAATGACAGGAGTGGCGCCGGGCTGCTCCCTCGAGAGATTTATATAGAGCTTTTCAGGCACGGCTTCGTTTTGTGGAAGAAAAGCCCCAGGTGACTGCTTCCGACCCGGAGATGCCCGTCCACTACACGTCTTTCCCCGTCCAATACATGTCTTGACCCGTCCACCTACAGTTCCATTCCGAAGCTGAACACGTGGTGGGGCCGTGTTAGCAGGAGATGCCCAGAGAGTGAGAGTTCAAGTCCGGCGCAAGTGACAGACGTGGGCCTTTTGTGTGCTTCAACATGCTCACAGACTTGGACGGTTTGGATTTCAAGCACACCTCATTCTGGTTGAGGTGCAGGGAAATGCCTCCAAAATCAAGTGCGCCAAAAATGCTGTCAAATGAAAATCCAGGTGTGTACATATTGCATATTAATCATAAAATTTGAACAAAGATCCACCAGTCACACCAACGTGCGCTGAGAGGCGGCCAACGTGCGCTCGACTGGGAGCGCATCCAAATGAGGGAAGAAGAATTCGATGTCACCTCGACTGGGAGTGTCCACTCCCAGCACTGAATGGAAAAACCCAAGGAATCCACAAACATCATCCCATCTGCAAACCCCTGTCACTCCTCCAATCTGAATCTGAAAAAGGCTTAGAGCCCGGCGCTGACACTCCCACTTGTCCAAGCTCATGTAGAAGCTTCCTGGCCCAGGTGTCGTCAGCTGTCCAAAGGTGTGCCCAGCTTCCATCGCCCCAAGGTGTCTCCGCTCCCAGTCGGACAAGGAGTCAACCCTGTTGCCTCGCTCCCACGCGCACAGTTCCCATGCGGGCCACGGGCCACGCCCTTCCACCGCGCACCTGTGCCGTAGAGCTCCTCAAGCCCCTGCCGTTGCGGCGCAGCGGGGCGCAGGCAGAACGGCAACAAAAGGGGCAGTGTCACAGGTGTGGTGAGTGCTACTTAAGCTGCAATCGCGTGTTTAAAACATGAACTAGACAGGAGTTCATTTGTCCATTCCAGTTTGACCTCCCAACTCCTTCCAAGGGACATCCTGCGCTCGAGGCTCACTGCCGAAGAGATAAAAACACGCACATTCAAAATGGTTCCTTGATGTTCCTTGGTCGTCCGAGGGAAGCAACCTGATGATTCCAACTCGGTATTGACGCAATCCTTTGAAAACCGCCCTTGGGCCTTCCCCAAACTTGGGAACCCCCCCCTTCATCTCTTGGATCATCCGATGTCCTGGGAATCCTCCAAACTGGAATGATACTTGGAATGATTATATAGGACAAGTCTGACGAACATGAACGCCGAACCCTGGCGTCTGAGAAGCGGCCCCTTTTTCGTCCGCCGATTCGCGAAAGCCACAGGAGCCCGGCTGCGTGGGAGCACGGTCCTGGCGAAAGCTGGCTGAACATGCCAGCTATCTAGCATCCTGGGGTTTTACCTGTGAAGAACAACAATAGTATCCAACAAACTTATGGAAGCAAAACAGTTAATGTGTTCATATGTTTTCAAAACCTGTCACACAGCGAAGCACAACAACTCCAAAGGAAGGCCATCTCACCCTCCAAACGTGTACAGCACGGCTGCCGGCTCCGGGCGCCGGCCTGTTCGGGCGCCCCGCCCTCACATGCGGTAGACGTCCCGCAGGGCGCTGGAACGGCGGAAGGCCTGGCGGAAGAGGGCAGCCGCGTTCTCGCAGTGCCCCTCTTCCGCCAGCAGCTGAGCCTTTTGATACATCTCCTTGGCTGGGAGATGCGGGTGGAGATGAGTATAGGCCTATCCTATTACCTGGTTGCCAGTGGCTGATGATGGTTAGTAAAGGCCCAAGCTACACAAGTATAGTGATAATTGTTTACTGACTGTTACAGGTAATAGGACACAAGCTTCGCTTGGAAGGAACGAGTTCTCATCCCATGGGTTCATCATCTTTACGGCCAGAAACTCTTGAGAGTGATTTAGTCATGTGCACTGAGAGATTGTGATTGGTCGACGCGGTCGATGGTGATCCAATGAACACGACAGGCAGCTCTCTGACTGAAATTTTGCGTTTCAATTAGATCCTCGAATGGAGCAGCCAAGCCCATAGCATCCTACGGTACATTTGCTTGTTGTAGGCCTGCACCAAGCCCAATTGGACCGACCCACAGAGATCTTGCCACCGACCAACTGGACCCAACTTGCCGCGGCGGTCAATGGTGGGCAGCACCAAGGGAACAATTCAACGTCCACGGATGCCAACATGCTCTCTCAGTGCCACGTCTCAAATGCTTCGACATCTTCCGGTGCAGTGCAAAGCTCTGGGTGCCGCTGGTAGAGGATGTCTGTGCGGATGATGTACTTTTCAGCCGCGGGCACACCTGCATGCTTTGGTGTTCTTTTCTGCCCATCCGATCAAATCTGGAGGGCGTGTTTGGGCAAAGGTCACCCCTCTGTAGTCATAGCACTCTCGTCATCCGTTTGCCTGAGGAGATGTATATATAGATATCAAGAAACATACAAATATGTTCGTTTGACCTGTGGGATTCTGGAATTTATCGTGCTGGCTCTTCCTGGAGAATGGTTTCTACTGTAGATGTTTCTAGCTAAACACTTGGCAAAAGAAATCATATATGTTCATTGGTATGCATTGGAAGGCTGGTCTGCCAATTCTCCCTACTACTTGGATGAAGGCTCTATCGATCGTCTCCGCCTCTGCTCGATACCTGCATCCAAAGGTGATCATGTCTGAACTCTCTCTATCTATCGCGCGCGCCCCACACGCACCTACACACACATGATCATGCGCCCTCCCCAGGCTTAACGAGTGGCCACCATGCATTATGAACGATTGACTCATCTCAGGCGGCCTGTCAACCTCATGTCGATCCCGGCCCCCCTTCCTGTGCTCTGAAAGGAAAAGAGGCGCCTTCATGCATCAAACGGTGGTAGAAGACCAGCATCCTGCCCACCTGAACGTTGCGTGGTAGGCTTGAACAACGTGGTAGTTGGTGACTGGGGTGACTGGCCCAACTAACTAGTGCTGACCAAACAGGCGTGTGACAGGTTACCTGACAGGTTGGATTCTCGGTCATACTCGATCTTTGGAGTGCTTCGTCCACCGTGCTGAAGTTTATTGATGGTGAGTGTGGCGGGGAACGCCACACTATGGTTTTGTGTGCACACTATGGGCTCTCAGATTTTGATTGTGTGCGGAAGACAAGTCTCTTGCGGCGCTTTGCATGAGGCGCCCAACCACGACGAAGCAACAAGAAGGGAAGCAGCAGGGTTGCGACGTCTCCCTCCGTGCGAAGCAAAAGACCCACCTGCACGGCCAAAACCCCGCCTTCGGCTCCACCTCCGCCACAATCAGCTTGGGATCGCCCGTCAAGCGCCCCGCGTCATCGCGCTGCCTCGGGTTGCAGCTCGTGGTTTTTTCCCCTGTTGGAGCTCGGTCAGGCACTAGACTACATTTTCCATACATGTCCATACCTTTAGTAGGAAAAAACGATAGTAAACCATTCTGCAAAGGGTGTGTGTGTGTGTGTTGTGTTCTTTGTTATCCATCAACAGTCTACATTACAGTGACTGGATCCGTTCCACCTCCGAAAAATCCACCCTTTTCGGTTTCACACCAGATCAGCCGCTCGATCCATACCTGCAGATCCGTGAATTGGAAGTGTGAAGAAATTAAACTAGTGTTAGCCTTCTTCCCATGACATGGAGACATAAGTGGGGTAGACTAAAGCTGCGTTCTTATTAGGCATTGCCTGTTCACCGTGCCCCTACTTTCAACTTCATGGACATCTTGACTAAGATACACTGAAGCTCCCAATCTACCTCCAACACTTGAAGTATATGAAATACTATAGGATGGTTATAGGATGATACTTATTTTAAAGAAAACACTTTGTATAAAATATAACATGCATACTCTTCCCGCCTGTGTATTTAATGTGGTCCACCCTACAAATCCCACGAGGAACCACGAAATCCTCCACTTCTGAGCCCCAATGGCAGTTCCCGGTCCATCTGCTCATCCGCATAGAGCCGTGTGTGGCCGCCCCAGGCTGAAGCATTGAGAAACAACACGCAAGAGTAGAAGGTCCGTCGGTTGAAGTCCACCACCGTGGTACCATCCGTATGGGGACTGAAGTGCCCTCCATCCAGATATCTCGACAGCAAGAGCTTGGGATTGACCCCATAGGGCTGCCAGGATCCTTCCTCAGCGGGACATTGATCGGAGGAAAACGGAGAGTAGAATGGAGAAGGGAGCCAAAAACATGACCCACGGTGTCTGGACCGTTATGCCGGCTCATGATAATGACTGCTCACTGCGTTCCATTGATCTATTGCATACACTCACGTTCCCAAGACGAATTGCAAGATAGTTCCCTACAAGGGGAGATGTCCCATAGACGGCGACCAACCGAACCCATTGGGTGAAGACTGTTCTTCCTTCATGTGCTTAAAAAAAATAACCTCAAGGGCTGCAACTCCAGCCGTACAGTAAAGATGTTCATCTCCAGGCTGCGATGTCCACTTCGAAACGGGGGTCCTCTTCTGACAATTGCACCTCGGGCCGCACCCATGGGGCCACACGCTGCCAGAGGCGTTCCGCCAGTGTTGGGTGGGTCACTTCGACCGTGAAGGCGTTGCGGAAGGAGATGCGGGGTCGACCGGGATCGTTTTCCCAGAAGGTCCAAAGACCTTGAGCTTGATGGATGAGAGCCTTGGATCCAAGACATTCCAAAACGGTATTTCTTCGTGGTGTTCTCACTTGAGGCACGTTCAAAGAATAAAGATAATAAAGAGTGAACAAAAATAACAAAAAAGTGTTAGATAATTTTTGCACAATCCCAAGAGGTGGGTTATTATGCATACTGTACATTATGGGAACTAATTTCCAGAAAGTCAACAGCAAAGCAAGGAGCTTCGCACTCTTCTTTCGTCAGGACATTGTCCAAGACGAAGGCATCGCAACCCGGAATCTCAGAGCGGCTTACTGCAGTCTCGCACTCTGGCATCAAGGGGAACATGTCCGGTAAGACTTCTGCCTTGTCCACCACATTGGAGATGGGTTTCGACTTCGATTCATCCACTTCCACCTCTGCCTTCTCAGCCTCTTCCTCCTCAAACAGCTCCTCCACCTCGCCCATCTCTCCCGTCACCACGACCGCATTGGTTGTGGGCGCACCACCCGCGCCTGCGCCCGCGGGATCCGCGACGACCGGCGCTGCACCGAGCAGGAGGCCCCACACGGGGTCCAGGTCGGGGTCCGCGTCCGCCATGGCCTCCACGAGGACCTCGCCATCCGTCGCCATGGCGCAGCGCAGTCCGCGTCCGCGGCGGCTTTTTCCGGTGTGGCGGCCGTTTTTGGGTTGGAGCGGGGTGTTGTTTGGGAGTTGATTTGTGTGTGGGGGGCGGGCTTGGGGAGAAGGAAGAAAACCCTACATCAATCACTCCGTTGCTAGTGGGATGGGATGTCGGAGCTCGCGGGAAAAAACCTAAAAGGCTTAGAACCTCGGAACCTCCTGTGAGGGACAGCAGGCCACGTCCTGGTGAAGGGTGAGCAGTCCTTTAAGGTTTGGCACTGGCTCGCGCCATGGAGTTGTCATGAATGATCCCGGTTTGGCACTGATCAAAGGTGGGCGAGAGCTCGCGGCAATCATGTTGCTTAATGCGGAACGACATGTGTTGACTTTGTCCGGACTGTGTGTTCTCAGCACCAATCATGTCTCCGGGACTGTCTGTCATGGCTGCGGCTGCGAGCAAAAACACTGACACTGCGGCTCTGCATGCTGCCAGCAAACACAAAGCAAAGCAGTGGACATACCGACATACCCTTCAAGGCTTTGTTGTTGACCACCACGGCCAAGTCACAAACGCATGATGATCGGAAACAATCATCAGTTGGGATGACTCGAATGCCGAATGTATTCAACATCGGATGCCACATTCAGACTCGCTATCCAAAGCAAAGTTTCAACACAGAAATCATCCAAACACCCGTGAAGGAGCCAAATGCAGAACCACCAGCATCCATGACTCAAACCACGAGTCGAAGAACCACCTCTCTTTGGGTGCCTCTTTTCGCCACTCGACGTCTTCACCGGTCGCCTCTTTCATGGCCAAGGCCCGCTCCACCACGTCGCCTTCGAGGTGCTCCAGCACCAGGACCTCCGGAGTCCGTCCATCGAGGTCGAGTCGACTTCTGCGGCATGCCTGCCTTCTGGAAAGGGTGTGAATCCCATGCGCCAAGTGAAGAACACGACACCAAGTTTGTTCAGTCTACATACCATGTACATCCGTGTACCTCAACGCGCTTCTGTGCCAGCACATGGCATGAAAAGGGAGGCTTTTATCATATTGTGCGAGTAGCTTTCTCTTGTTGGTGACTCACTTGGGTGACGTCTGACTGGTTTGGCATCATTTGCCCATTGAATGGGAGGGCCATACAACACTGGTCTTCCCAAGTGGTGATTTGTTTTTGATTTGTTGGTACATTGCCATGAGTCACTGCCACAAAAAATTGAGCTACGAAAGAAAGTTCTATGTAATGACCCGATGATTAGCTTAGCTGTCCACACTTTTTTTGATCTTTTTTGTTAAGATACCGCGAAGCCATGTATGTTGGTGCAGGACACGAATGAGATGTTGAAGACTCCAGCTGGGTTCGGCTGACTTGCAGCTCGTATAAGAAGACAGTCCTGAGGCAGGTCAGGAACATCGGGGAAAGCACTCAGATAGAAGAAACGCAGGACGGCATAGGACAGCCCTGACTCTTGCTGGTGGGTCTTCATCTTGCCTGCCATCGCCTCTCCCAGCCTGGCACAGGCCACGGGCGGCCGAGGCCACTGCCGCTTGCCGGGCGGCAGGCTCCAAGTAGTGGAAATACATCTCCTAGGCGTGGCAGGCAGGGGTGGAAGCAAAGATGAGCAAAGCAACTAGCCTTCTTCGTGAATGATAAAACGTCTTACCTCTGCCTTTAGTAGACGTCCAATTGCTTTTCCGGTCTTTTGGACTTGCCATCCATCCATACTATTGATCTGTAAGATGTATAGAGATGTATGGGGCACTTAGTGGTCATAATGGGATGTAGAAAAAGAGCTGCATAACATTGCAGAACCATAACTGAAGGCTTGAAGGCAGTAACTGAGGCAGCACATCTCTCTCCCAGGGCAGGAGATCTCCTAACGCTTGGGGATGGGAGAGTTCCCTCTTTCCATTGAATTGCAGGTGCTTCCCATAGTCACCGTAGTCATCGCAAGGCAGGCAATTGGATTCTTACCAGGACGGATCAGGGGACGGACGGATCAGTGAAATTGGTAGGCCATCAATTATTGGAAAACTATAACCTACCTGGCGCATCATTAACCCACACTGTCCATACTCCAAGTGTGAGCTCACACCGAGCGCGGCTGCTAGTAAGGGGGTTCTGAATGGATTCCCTAAGTCACACTAGAGTCACAGGCTTTGATCACGATCTAGCCTCAATTTTGGCCCAGGAGCCGCTTCATGCGCCAAGTAAACCTCCTTGCGGGCTTTGACTTCCAAATAGGCCTGACGAGCCCGAAACCTGAGCCCTTCGGGCAACAGTCGCCTGAGGGTGTCCTTCAAGCTCTGACTACAACGAAATTGCGAGCGCCACAGCTGTGGCCTCGAGACACAAAGTAGCTTCTTGTTGCTAGTAGCGATGGCCTCCACCCTACTAGCAATGGCCTCCAACCTATATAATAATAGCAATGGCCTTCACCTAGTAGCGTCCATTGAGGGACATGAACCCAAAAAAAAGCATATCAAAACACCAAACCTACCTGATTTGACTCGTGTGACGTCGTGTCCATGGCCTCCTCAAACTTTCCAATGAGCTCATCCGCCTGGTCAGCGATTTCAAAAAATAACGGACGATGGCCTAACTGCCGCACGAGAGATCCTCGGGTTTGGCGGCGCAAGCGGGGAGTCCCCAAAAGAAACCATTGCATTGTCAGAAGGAGAATGGGAGCCTCCGTGTTTGTACTTGGACCTTGCAGGCCAAGCACTTACTAAGTGAGGAGCGAATCAAAGTACAGTACTCGAGAACCCATACATAACCTGTGACCTAGGGTCCTTGCCGGTTTTCAACCAAATCCGTCTTTACCTTTTAATTTGCGCAATCATGCGCTATCCATCCTCCTCATTGATCCTCTTGTCGGCTCCACCAGCCGATGTTGCTGACAGAAGCGACCCGGTGCCTTGCCCTCCAAGACCAGCTGTGGCATCAGCAAAGCCACACTCCTCGTCTTCTCCTAGCGCCCACACAGCTCCAGTGGTGAAAGGGGTAGGGAGGATAAACCAAAATTTTACAACTCTCCGCAGTTACGGCCGCCATGCGTGGCCCCTAACCACCAAAACCATCCCATTCGTCCATTCATATCCATCTCTCTGCCATAGGTTGTCTCTAAAATAGCTTGCAGTCCCGACCCCCTCTCAAAACTCTTTGGTTCACATCACAAATCCAAAGTGCGGTGGCTGTGCCGGCCTCCAGTGCCAGCATGGTTTCACTGGCAATGATTTGTGCCAATGGAATCGGGTGCCCAACGAATCGCGTTTCTCTGAGAGCCAGTCACCGCAGCAAGGCGCGACAAAACAAATGAATGAATGGGAAGTATGTGGACATACAAGTTGTTAGCTGAGGCATTGGTGGCGTATATCGGCCTTTGCTGGTAATTGGTATATAACCGGTTGATGACACCACCAAGCCACATATCAGGGATGTGGGACAGGAAATGGTGTGCAATTACATACTCTGCCCAGTGCCCAAGCAGTTTCTGGAATGCAAGCGGCTTCCTGCGCTCACATTCAAACATTGTCATGCCAACGGTGTGGGTCGAAGGAACGTGGACAGAGTACAGCCATGTAAGCCCCCACTTTTCGGAGTGAGTAAACCAGCCATGTTCCCCCTCAACGCCCTACATGAGCCAAAAAACGAATGTCCGAAACCAGCCAGCCCTCTGCCAGGCCGAACCAGCGGGTGGTCGCAATCTGCAAACCATCAGTCTGTTGGTCGTGTGATGATTCATCCGATCCACAAGCCAGGCCAAAGCCAGTCACAACTAGTGCAACAGCTCTCATGCCAACCCCTCACATCAGTACCCCTTAGCCACCTGCAGTGCCCTGCGCCTGGAGGATGCCGGTCTGAGCCCCCAGACGGAGAGGCTAATCCAGCACCCGAAGGATAAGGGCACGGGCGGGCCGACGGGCTTCACATCGTAGAGCATCGGGAATTTGGGCATGTCTTCCCAGCTCTCAAAGGCCTCGGACCATCGCACCGGTCGACCGGACGGCGGAACCGAAGAGGAGTCGTCTGGAGGTCGTGCGATGGAGTCCGTGATGTAACCGGCCAATGAGATACACGAATCGAGGGCGAGACGACTCTTAGCCAATAATGACGAGGTCTTACGATCCAAATGGGGTGGGGGTCAATCAAGATTCATGCATAACCAACCCGGGATATCAGATTCACCCCGGTTACTGCATATTGGATGTATGGGCGGAATCCTTGCCACTCCGAAACCAACACGGGCAGGGCTGCCGCGCCGGCAGCTCAGGTGCCAAGACCTCCGACTCGGGTGCCCGCAGCCGGCACATGACATAGCCAGACCATCCATTGGTCCATGGGGCTGGAAGAGTTACTGTACATACATTTACCATCAATTTACCCCATGTGTGAAACATATTAATATATTCCAAGTTTATGGATTCTCTGGGGTAGCTGGTCGCATTGTTCAATGTCGTTCATGTTTGCATGGTCCACTTGCCCATGCAACAATGGTCTAACATGGTCTAAACATATCTAACCATGGTCACAACGTGCATGGAAATAAAAGTATGCCATGGATTCAGTATCATTGTGACAACATGTTACTGACGCGTGCAGGTTCTGCTGAAGAGAGTGCTGATGATAGAGGTGAGAGTATGGTTTAAGGGCAACATGTCGAGCTTTCCTTATGTTGCTGTGCACATGTGTGACCACATCATGTGTGCACAGCAAAGGGAGATCTCCCAGTTCGACCCCCTGACAGAAACACGACCAGTTCGACCCCATTGTGTTTGGGCATCTCCCCGTGTTCCTCCCGTGTCGGCCCAACGTGTCTCGTCCGGCCTCACTGGTGGACTCTGAGGCCATTCGCAAGCGCCAGGCGCACACCAGCACAAAGCACAAGACACCCCAAATGGCATCCACCTGATGAGTCGAAGGCTTTTTGAAGGAAGAGATATGAAGACACTAGGGCCCTAGGGATCCAAGTGCCTTCTCAGAAGGTGTTTGGGGTGGGTTTGGAGGGTCCAGGTGCCTTCTGAGAAAGTACTTGGACCCCTAGGGAGACACAAAAGGTGCGACCTACTCCAAACAATAAAGTGAAATTATCCCTGTAGGAGCAAAGCTGTTTCCTTCGATTGAGACTTGGAAAGGGTCTAAGCTTTTTGTAGATTGTCCGTCTCAAGATTGTTTCGTCTTCGCTGAAGTCAAGCGTTGTAGCACTTAGTGATCTCACAACCCCCAACCAAAAAATAAAAGCACATCGAGTCAAACAAATAAAAACAAATGCCTAGATGCGGTCCCCCAGCATCGCATGCGACAAGTAGTGCAGACTCTTGATGAGTAAAAAGCCCAGTTGAATGGAAAAAAACCTGATCAATATGGATGCTTTATGGGGCTTTATGAAACAAGAGTCTACACTGGAATATACTGGAATCATCAGGTTCCCTCAAAAGGACTCAACACGTGAGGGACTCTTCAGGGTCTACGACTCCGCATCCCCCCAACGACTCGGCTTCTCTTCGGGATCAAACGCAATGGAACCATGACTCCCACGGTCTCTGAGCCCTCCTGGCACGAGCTCTGTCCGCTCTGAGCTCCATGTTCCGCAACGGAACTGCACGTGGACAGCGGCACGGAACTTCTGCGAAAAACCAGCACGGGCGCCTTGTAGAACCACCCGAACCAAAAGATCTCCCGAGCGCAAAGCAAGACCTCAGAGCTTGGACGCTCGTCAATCCCAAAGGATCCATTCCAGACGTTCCATGTACGACATATCTACGCTATCCTGCACTGGACGTCCTGCAGTGTTCCCAGTGTTGGACCCTGAGTTCACGTCACATCTAGAGCGGTAAAAGTAAGCCTGAACTTAACTACCAAGTGGGTGATGGAAGGGTTCCGGGGTTCCAGGTGATTATTGAGCTTAAAGGCAACACCTTTGGAACTCCTGTTAGGCAACTCCTCCTCCCTTGGACCCCAAAAAACAGCATGCCGAGGAGCCACACACAAGGGCCCGGGCACCGCACCAAGTCCTTGCCTTGGTCGATCGTCAAAAGAAACAGAAAAGCATGCTGGCTGGGTGCCTCCCTTCAGCCAAGGAGGTTTGGGTGCGTGCATCTCATCCAATAAAAGTGGATATCCTTCGTAGGGACCGGCAGACCTTCTGGCAATGGCTTGCGGAAGAGCGGAAGATCGGGTGAGGAACATCCCCAGGTTTAGCCCATCTGATGGTGCAAACCCAAAATGGATGTCCTGGACCGTCGTAACTGATTTGGCGTTGCCTGGGTCAACCAACCTTCTTCTCTGTAAAACATGGACTTCAGAGTGAACCAGGCTGTATTCCAAATGCACTTGATCATTAATAACTCATAATCTGGACACCTGGAGCACTTGATGACCCGAACATACGCACCAGCCTGATCTTCGAACATCTTTGAACCATCATTCACCTCTTCCAAGATGGAAGTGCATGCTTGACACACCATCTCGTCAAGGGACGCCTGGCCCAAGGCGATCAGCAAGAGGGTGCCAAGGCCCAGGAGACGAAACACCAAGCCTGCAACCAAACACGAAATCAGATCATCAGGTCTTTGAGCAATGTTTGGTGTTCAAAGTTCTACTAGTTCTACTAGGATTCTACTAGTGATGCTTTTGAGAATTCCAGCTAACAGCTAACAGTTAGTTAGAACCTTCACTTGATGCATCATGATGCATCCACCCTCCGCACAGCGCAGCATCTTCTTCCCACACACCGTGTCGCCTGCAGCCAACCTCGAACCCAGCGGCACCGCCAGCATGGCGAGCGCGGCCGAGACGTTGGCCAAGGCCAAGGCGGAGGACTGCGAGCGCGGGCGAGGGCGACGAGGTGGTGGCCGGGCCTGGGGAGGCCCAGGCAGCGGAGGCGTGGCCCAGGCACGTGCTTCATGTGTTGTTTCCTTTAATTGAATCAACAACACCCATGTCAAAACCCATGAAGCACCCATGTTTCAGTCGTCATGTTGTTTTCATGTGTTGTTTCCGTATTTTGAGAGGATTTAATGTCAATGCATGTCAATGGAGTGGCGCATGCCAAGATATGGTGAAAAACGTTTGTTTGTGGATACGTTAGAGCTGCACACCCTGGGGTCCACATAGATCCTCACAAGTTCAATAGCCATCTGTCCCCTCCTGTTCTCGCCTGGATTGAGCCATCGATGATGGAAATGCCACCTTGGAGGTCTGATCAAGTCAGGAAATCAGGACTGATCAATCCTTTTTCACGCATCAATCAAAGAATCAAACACTAGGGCCATAGGGATCCCCATGAGGCGTTCTCGCTCGTGAGATGCTCGGAGTCCGGGACGGGAAGAGCTTAGCTCGTGAGGACTCTTGCTGAACCCAAGACACTGGTCATGAAGAAGTCCAGAGTGTAAATCAGGGTCCAGCACACAGCCTCACTGCCGCGGGGCACCCTAGGAAATTGCACCCAGCCCAACCAAGGTTTCACAGGGCTGGAAATTAAAACAGTGCAGGTGGCACCATAGCCTTCTCACTTCTGATCAGTGTGGGAAAAAAAGAACACATCCAAAACCCATCACTCCTGGATGGAATCCCATCTCGAGCACCTCTTGGGGAAAGGCGGCTCCTATTTTCTCCTAGTGTCTTTCTTGCCTCCTTTGCCTTATCAACTCGACTTCGTCGCCGCCGAGGCCTCCGATGAATCAAATCAGGTTCGATCCACACCAAGCGGCTGTGACCGCCAACGCCACGCGGTAGATCACCACCTTCCGAGCCGCTTGCGGTGGAGGCAAGCGCACCGGCGGGGTGGGGCGCAAAAGAGTCATCCAACAAAGGTGGGTGCAGCTGACAGTCAATTCACCCTGAAGGAGGATTGATCCAAGCAAAATGGACTCGATTCAGCCGTGCCTCTGCTAAGCTGGCCCAAATTGACCGGAACTCAAAGACCCTCAAACGATCTTCAGTTGCACACTTTGGGCTTTGAATTTCAGCTCTCCCAAAATTAAGGGTATCTGTAGCAGTTGGAGATGGACAATGAAACACTTACGTAAAGCGTACTGTATTCCTTTGAGGCGCCTGTACCCAGGACCTTCGCTACATGACTGAATTCAAACTCGGCAGGAACATCATGGAACATCTTCCAGGGACTTGCTTCCAGGCATGAAGGAAGATTCCAGGACATAAAGGGGCATCCTATATGAAGGGACTTCCTACTATATCTTTCCCGAAATTTCCTACCCAGGAAGACTCTGGATTCCCGCCATCCACAAGCTTCAAACTTGCCCCATCCACCCGCTGCC